TTCCATTATTGTAATTTTTCATACCATACATCCACTTTTGCCTTGCCATACCACTTCCTATCTTGACACTCCTTACCCTTCTCAACGGTTTACAACCTCATCGTGACTCTGAGGTGTTCCTGGCTGTCGGGCTGCGATGTACAGCGGGGAGATTCATCCCCCCAGCAGGTTCTCGCAACCTGAGAAGAAGCCTGCCGTTCCCATCCGGAAGAACAGTAAAGAGAAAACTAATACCAGGCCTCACCACTGTCCTCAAACTAGTCGCATTGTGGCAAATCTACCTCTAATCCACGAGGGCGGCGGCTGCCTGTGGTGGTGACGACCACAGACATACGAACAGACTTTGGCCAGGGTGTCCTCAGGACTCCAGGGAACTACAATGGCTAAACCAGCAAATATCCGAAAAGTGGGAATTACGCTGGGACCTGCACAACCAGTGGATACAGGATACCTAAGTATCCTGACGACCTGGAAACGAAATTTTAAGGACTTTTCCCTGAGTATCACTTTGTCGCCACGGACCTCCACATGAGGGATCTTGGGCCGGTTAGTCGCGAGGGATGGTGGTGCGTCCTCAGGTGGCACACAGGATGTTAATTAAGGACCAAAGGACCAAAGGCGACCCTTGCTTTCCTAAGAACCAGGTGGATTTAGGAGATGGAATCTCCGTTTCTACTGCTCCGATTTGGCACATATTCTTGCATTTGCGAGGGCGTATTCATGCAAAGGTGCATCGGCTGTTCTCGTTTATGCAAATTGTATTCTACGAGTCAATTCGGCGAAAAGCCTGCAATCAAGTAATAGGGAAATATATTGGAAGCGATTAGGAGTCGTCTCCAAAAAATAAGCTCCATGTCCACTCTGGGAGAGTCTGGCAAGCTAGCCGTGACTATATGTAGCCCCCACGTTCAGAGTCCAGCAAGCTGTACGTGGGTGTCAAAAAGCTAAACACACTTAAAACGGGCTTCTTTCTCCTGACACCAAAAGAGCCCCGATTCTGTAGTGTTGAGTAGGACGAGTACGAAGAGATGGCTAAAATCTCAGAGCCATTCTATGCTGCATAAATCGCAAAGCACTAAGGTGACGATCTGTGCTAATCTAAAGTGACCGACAATGCGCGCATACTTGCATCTGAATCCTCAATAGAAGACTTGATCATGCAAGCAAATAAGGTATATATAACGTCATCGGCCTGGCCGAGACGAGACGACGCCACCCATTCAACGCCGTCTATCGCACCGAAAAAGAACTGTTCCTCGGAGTAGCGACAGTAGAGGAGCCGGCAGCGTCGACGTTCTCGTCAACACGAGTTCGGCTATGAATATCGATTCATTCGAACAACTAACAACCCGAATCGGACGTTTACGATTAAAAAGATGTGGAATAGTACCGGCGTTGACAACCTACGCACCGACGTCAAGCTGTGACGAAGAGGAAGCGGAAGCTTCTATATAGATTTTAGAGGTGAAGTTTTAATAAGAAGTCCATGCATTCCTAAATGTCATCATTGGAGATTTTAATGCTAAGATTGGGCTCAGAAGAACGTCTGAAGAACGCCTCATTGTAAGCCACGGATTAGAAAGAAACGAACAGGGTCAGCGGTTGTCTGAGTTTATCATGACGACCAAGACCATTCATAGTAACTCGCAATTCCGAAAGCCCCACCGTCAACGCTGGACGTGGGAGTCTCCCAGTGGAGAGTACGATAACGAAATAGACCACATTATAGTGAATCGAAGATTTTGCCTAACCGATGTCGCTGTTGTCCCAAAATTCTACACTGGACCAGACCATCGCTTCCTTCGTGCAAGATTCTATTTCTCGCGGAAAAGGAGAAAAAGGCGCTAAATTCAAAAACCGAAGTCCCAGAACCACCACAAACTGGGGCTTATTCAATTCATTAGCCGGCTATTGAGAAGATGCCGTTGTCGATAACATCGACGAAGAATACGATTGGCTCATTCAACATCTTCACCTTAGCGCTATGAAAGCAGAGAGTTCGAAAATCATCAAGAGACGTTTGTCTCCAGAAACACTCGAATTGATACGCCAGCGTGGAATCGCACTGGCTGCAGGCAACCGCGATCTAACGTCCGAACTTGCAACGTCGAAGCTGCAGAGGCTGGAGAAAGCATTCGAGAAGCCCACAGAAGCTTCGCCAACTCCAAAACCAAGACGATTGCACTCCGACGCCCAGACGGAGTAGTTACAGCACCCAGAAAGGCAGTGCAAAATATCATTCACGATTACCACTCGAATCTCTGTGCTAGCCACGGCCTCCTGCCCCATATAAAACAAAGGAGAATGGATATATCGTACCACCGGTTCTACCTTTCGAATTTCAACACCCTATTTCCTCGGCGAGGATTCGAAGAGCACCAGATCCGAACAGGATAAGATTTGAGCACCTGAAGAAACCCCCGCCAATCCTCATAAACTCATTGGCTCGGCTCTTCACGCGTTACCTGTCCGAATTCAAAGTACTTGCTCATTGGAAGACCACCACGACCGTGCTATTGTTTAGGAAAGATGACCCCCAGGATATCGGCAACTATCGCTCAAGCTGCTCACTGCCTTTCGTCTACAAAATCTTCACTCGAGTCATCCTAAAGAGGATTGACAGAAGACTGGGAAAAGGACAGCGGTGTGAGCAAGCAGTGTTTCGAAAAGGATTTAGTGCGATGGACCACATCCACACAATAACAAAACTCATTGAAGCATCGCGAGAGTACAACAGACCGCTCTATCTCACTTTTATCGATTTGAAGAAGCCTTTTGACCCAGTTGAGATAGAAGCAGTTATTGAAGCCGTTGATAATCAGAGAGTCCCAACTCAGTATATAAGTATAAATGTGTAAGATTCTTCGTGAAGCGTATAAAAATTTTACAACCAAGAACAACCTTCTACAACGATATTAACATCGATTTCAAAAGATGGGCTAGGCAAGGCGAGGCTGTTTTGCAAAAACAATTACCGCCATCATAGAGAACGTCAAGCGTAATAGGATAACATGGGAGTGCAAATCGATGGTCGGCAATTACATCGCCTTCGCTTTTCTGATGACATCGTCTTCATAACACCAAACATTAGCCAAACGGAACGTATGCTTGACGCCTTTGATAAAGCCTGTGGAAAGATTGCTCTTCGACTAAATCTTACAAAAACGATGTTCATGAAGAACAGAATGGTTTTGTATGCCCATTCACGCTCAACGGAACGAATATCTCCGAATGCTCCAGTTATGTCTATCTAGGTCGGTAAATCAACATGTTGATATTAATTCGAGTGTTTCTGGAGACAACTTTTAGCTCCAGAGCTGAGCAGAAGGAAACGAGCGGTTTGAGGAGCTTTCAAGAGCATCGAGGATGTAGTGAGGAGAACAAGGAACACCCGACTCCGGATCCACCTTTCGACTCAACGGTACATCCTGCTTTAACGTATGCGTCAGAAATCTGGTCGCTGCGTAAGCAGGATGAAAGACCACTCAACGTCATTGAGCGCGCAGTCGAAAGGATGATGTTAGGAGTATTCCGTTTCACACAATTGAAGGAAGAATCCGAAGCTCCGACCTGTGTCAGCGATCAAAAATCAAAGATACCGTTCGGTACGCCAAACAGTCGATGAAAAGGTGTGGGCCGGACACGTAATGCGTATGAATGACAACCGATGGACAGGAGCCGTTAGTCACTGGATTCATCGGAATGTCAAAAGTACTGCAGGAAAACCACCAACCCGAAGGTCAGAGCTCTTTACGAAAAGCGTGAAAAAGGTATGATGCTCAAAGAGTCCCTAGAGCGAGCAGAACCCACTGGGCTACTCTTGCACACGACAGGGAAAAATGGAAGACTTAGTGGCGCTCGCTCGAGTTAATCGACGATCAACAGGAGGGTAGGTGACAGGTGACAAGGTGATCACTTTGTCTAACTGGTCGTGGAAGGCATCTAATTCGCTCTCATAGGCTAGGTTGCAACCGTAAAATATCAGAAGTGGTCTTCTTTGAAGCAAAATGATTAATATTTTGTGGGAGGCAACATGATGTGGAACGAATAATTCGTCCAACAAAAACTAGAGCATCGACATTAGACAACTCCCTTAACGGTCCTCTTACCGTTCTACTATATTGCCCTTCTTCAAATAAAGACTTCTTTCGAGTGTTCAGTGAGATTTCTCATTGGATCGGTGCACCACTTCATTGAATTCGACGCTGTGCAACAACGAACAACAACATTGAGAGGGCGACCACTTGTGGATCATCAACTGGGACCACTCTAGCTCTGAAGAAGACGAAGCGTCGAAAAGTTAGCCGCATAACAGTGTGTAACATGAATACATGTCCATGCCTATGCCACTGTGCTGCTCATTGGGACTGATTTTACCAGTCAATATTTAATTTAGGTTTTACGTCACAAGATTCGATGGTGATTTGATCCCAAATAAATCTATTCATAGAAAAAATAAACCTAAAAGATAAATACCTGGTCTAAGGAATTCAAAAGCGCTGGCGAAATGCTGTTCTAGTGAACACCTGGGACCGAAGCAGCCTGGCTATTCCAGGATTCGAGGGAAAATAATAAAGGAACATTATTCGAGATGTCAGTTAGGGAAAATAAGCCTCAAACCTCAGCGTAATCTACACCGGAGCCTAATCACCTCCGTGAGTGAACTAATTGGACCTGTTAATTTTTTTATATGCCCGAGTATTTTGTTCTCATTCACAAACCTTGTATCATTTTACACCACTACAGAAAAATTAGAAACAACTTAATAAGTAAATTAATCTTTTATTTTAGAAATTGGTACATTTTAATATTGTCTGACTAACAAAGAGACGATACGCTTGTAAAGCTTATAAAGAGAATTCGGTTGTATGCTCTGGGGTTCATTTTACAATGTTAGGTATTATGAGAAATAGACATGCGAAAAATAGGACACTTGTCTGAAAAAAAATCCTTGAAAAGCCAAGCTTTCGGTGTTCGTACAAAAATTTCGCTGAAGGGTTTCAGAATAAAGGCATGCTCATAGAGTCATTGATCGGAAGACCTTGCTTGTAAAGCTGAATGAGCTTCTGTAGATGCTTGTGTTCGTCGACTCGTTCGAACACCGTCGGCGCCGACAACACGATTCCTGAATCAGGATAGTACTGATTGCAGGCGGAAGATCCATACGTTAGATAGTTATGGCTTACAATTTCGTCCATTGGATTTGGGAAGGGATTCAACAAAGTCGGACTAAATACAAATTACTAACCCCGTTTTTATTCTGCGCCAATGTAGTACTTCAAACCTCATGGGTATTTTAGGGAACAATGTTCCTCTAATAATAAATTATGGCTTGAGAGTGTTGGCTGAAAACGGCCATTATTTTCGCTTCATATGTATTGAAGCCAGTGCACAGCGTCCGTCACACAGTAAAATTCTCTTCACGCCTGTTTTAGTTAATTAATTGCTTCTTCCCGATTTAATTATCTCGTTCATCTTGCCATGACTAAATAAGCTAAATAGAGTTAAGAAGCAATGGGATAAATACTGTACTAAATTTAAAAAAACGTCATTCCCATGAATTCCACCTAAAATTTTGTCACTATAGCCACATTAACAGCACATTGCTTGGTGCTAACTTTACAAACCTATAGTGCCACCAAGAGTAATGCCAAAAAAGCCATACAGGAGGAGACGATCCACCACCATCGCGACAAATTTCCAGTCATCTCGGTACTGAAAAAATCACTGGAACCTTAGGATGAAGTGTTCTTGTGATATTTTCTCTGGCACAAAAGTTGGTTAACTTTCACATTAAAAGGGGGGTCGAGTGATAACTTTACAGTTTTTACACTACCATTGTCTCGAAATAATGAAAGCATCACGTAAACAAACCGGCTATATCTCAGCATAAGAAACTGCGCAATGGTGGTTAGCTCATTACGTCTCAGCAGCCGTTGATTTTATTTTAAGCACTTATGTCAGGGACACCTTTCACGTGAAAGTTCTCGGCAAGCTACGTTGCGTGTTCATAAGCAGCGGAGTGTGGAACGCAAACCATAAGCATCCGCAGGGTTTCCACAAAGCGCAGGTGGATTGAAAGAATGCGCTGTTTGTCTCCTATAGAGAATTAACTTGTATTTTCGCACACAAGTAATAATATTCGAGCTGATACTCACGGGTGTAGTTGCGTGTGCTCTCCTACTCATGAGAATGGATCCGGTATGAGAAATGTTCATACAGGAATATCCTCAGAGTCGAATAGCTGGGCACAAAACCAGCTGTTCTGCTTTCCTTTGAAGTGCATCTTCGACGCCCTTGTAAACTACCAATCTGATCATTTATTCTGCTCAACTTTGTTCTTAACTTCGTCTTCTTCGTTATGGTGCTCCTCATTTAAAAAGTCGTAGTCGAACGCTGAGAGGAGGCTTTTGGAATTTCGGGTTACCGTGGTTGTATTGATCATCAACATTAACTTATGCAGCCGTTCATTCTATTCTTCCATTCAGACCAGTCATAGCACTGTGTCTTCAACGTCTTGACCTCTTCTTCGTTATGGCGATATTGGAGCATAGGCAGTAAAGATTGTCAGAGTTGATGTTGCTCCACATCCCTCATCTAACTTAGATCCCTAATTCTTCAAAGGAACAAAGTTTTATGGCTAAACATGTACCTGTTTCGTGGTTTCATCATCTTTCAGATTTTCAGTGATAAATTCAATAGCATCAACAGCTCGCTGTGCATCTGGAGCCAGTTCGTTATGCGATGGACGGCTGATTCGTATAAGTGGAGTCCCATCACTGTAAATAGAAAATCACTAGTTGGATTTAACCGTGAAATCTATTAGAATATGAATATAACTGGTTTCGCTTCCTTGCAGTTCCCTTAAATATATCTTTGAGCAAAAATGCGGTACAAAATATTTTAAGACCATTTTATCAAAGAACAACTTCCTTCTCTATGAATCGCCTAATGCAGGTACTGCCACTACTCATACCCTGGAGATGATTTGCTTTCAGAGCTCCTTTCGCATACTGAAGACCTGTTTCCAAACAACTATCACTTCCAAATTATTGGACCAATGGAAGATCTTTGAAAAAAGTCTCTTTTCCCCGATTCTAAATAGCTCTTAGGCGTGCTCTGTTTAGCTTCGTTGTAAAACATTGCACGTTTCCCATCAATGCTATAAGATGGCATGGGCTTTTAATGGAGACCAAAAAAACTGGTGGATGGGCATGCATGAATAGACATTCATCCATATCAAGTGTGCCTACTATGCAACAGCGTGAAAGTTCATCAGCGGCGTATTCGATGCAAACACCACACCACTTCACCACATTTTCCACGTTTTCGCTCTTCACCACCTGTTCATTAATCCCGAGAGTTAGGAAAGTGGGAGATTGCACTCCTCCGTCAACGATATTGCGCTGACAGCTAGGTGTGCATCTGAGTTTGCTTGCGAATTGGTGGCTGCGTCTCTTCGTTCTTTAGTCTTTTGCTGCAGGCCCGGTTGTAACAGGTTACAGATAACATTCCCCATAAATATCAAATATGCCTCTTTGCATCTTCCATGTGTTTTGCCTAATTTGTTCACAGTTGTTAACTCGTTGTACACCCAGTCATAACAAGCGACTCATGTTTTTGCCTCACAGCTGGCCCGTACTCTGCTTGTAAGCTCCTCATAGGCTGACCCCAGCAAGATACCTGGGAATTAGTTACGCCCATAGCAGCGACATTTTTCCTTTTGACAACGCCTAGAGATCGCTAGCACTTTCGTACATCACTCTGTTATCTTACCTAATCACATCCACTCACCGATCCTTCGATTTGCATAGACTTGAAGAACGTTAACATCGGCATTGTCCACATGTCAAAGTTACTGTAAATTATCGTGCAACTATAATTACTCTACAAAGATCACTGTTTCCACATCAATTCGTCTACCTATTATTCCGCTGCGCTTGAATTCGTCGCTATCCGTCGATGTACTGTAGTACCTAGTCACTCCGCATAATCCTCTGCCTAATTGCATTGTTATTATTTAATTCCACTAAGTTATTAATTTAAACTCTAATGAGCAGACGTGCCTACCGGTGTGCTGTCCTCTTACATCCGTACTACTACACCGCAACTGATGTAAATATGAAGGTCTACATACACAAATTTGACGTCTGACTCTCTGGCATCGACAAAAGTCCTGAGTTGCAAGCTCATACAAAGGCCAGAGTCTATTTCGACCCAGTAACCTTGATATCTGACTCGAAAACAGATATGTCTAGCACAATAAACCTCAATACAATTTTTGGTGCACTAGCCTAACTCTTACAAAGTTAAAATTCCTAATAACTTCGACAACCAGAACTCATACAGTTTTTCAACTGGCATTGGCAGCCGTTGCAATTCTGAGACAATAGCATTCGGTATGTGTTTTGTTTAACATAGACGAATGTACTACCAAATGATTATACCCATGATTTGATTTGTGAACAAGTGATGATCGAACCAATGTGACAGAGCAATTTCCAACTGTATTGCTGTTTGTAACCGAGGCCTTTTTTCCACCATTCCCATACGAAATTGTCGTTAAAAAAAAGTCCGTGATGTATAGGATATAGTACTTGCTTCTAAAGACAGAACAGAGAAGTTATTTTCTGAAATAGAACGATTCATGACGAGTTCGCGATATGAAAACTTTAAAGCAGGTCGCGGCGAAAGCAGACAATGAAAACTACCACCGATAAGGCAAAGATTCTACAAAGTCGATTACAATAAACTTCGAACAAAATGCAAGCTTCTCTTAGGTACAGAACTGAAGAGCACGTTTAGATGAGGAAATCGGTGGTGTGATGATATCTCGACAGAGCCGTCTTTGACTTCTGCTGTTTAACGGAGAAGGAAGAATCACCAATTCCAACCTATCGTAAACGTCTAAGGGAATCTCCCCTTAGTTGATACTTGAACGGATCGTCCTCACTAGTTCTCCGAGCCTCAGCATAATCACCACTTTTTTGGTGATTTGCTGGTTAAGCCATTGTGGTTCTCTGGAATGCCGAGGTCAGCCTGGCCAAATTCTACCCCAGGTCTTCACTACCACAGGCAGTCGCAGTCCTTGTGGATCAGAGGGAGATTTACCACTATGCGACTTCGATATCAGGACGGTGGTGGATCCTGGTATTCGCTTACTCTTAGGTAGGTTTCCTGATGAAAACGCCTAACTTCTTGTCGGCATGGGAGACCTTGCAAGGGGATGAATTCTCCGCTGTACATCACAGTCCGACACTCAGTAACACTTACAAACCACGATGAAGCGGTAAACCATTGAAAGGAAGGGAATCTCTACTGTGAGAAAAAAGGAATTTTGGCTAAATACTGGTATTTGCGATTCGTTTCGATTTTTTTAAAAAATAAGATAGGAAATCGAAGTTTCAGAGGTAACGACGAAAATTAAACGCAATTACAGTCATAGAAAAGTACCTTCGGGCAATGCTTTGAGATCAAGCTCACTAAAAATACATCACTAAGCAGTATGCAACGTTTTTCGTTTACCTTTAAACCAGCGCCGCATTACAGGTGGGACTGCGTACGTTTTCTTTAGCTGCTTTCCCTCCTTAAAAATTAAATTCGCTTTTTGAATAGGTTCTTTATTGAATAATAGGAATACTAACTCTTCAGTTAACTAAATATGAAATACACTGACATTTAGCGTGAACAAAATTAAAAACTACGAAATGGTAAAACTACCGGACGCTGTCAGCAGCACGACAGTGTGGATGGTGATTCTGCATGGCGAGCTGTTGACTGGTCCCTTTACTGTTCGAGGAATTGTTGCTCTTGTGATGTAGCACGTTCTTTCTTCGAGGACGTTGCATGCATAACAACAACGGCAACCACTGCAACACATCTCGTTCAGAAGAAATGTTCTCTAAACAGTTGCTAAAAACCACGGAGCTTCTTTATTTTTTCTTTCTTTTGTCTTCGCTAAATAGAAAGCTTAATACCACAGCGGAAGTGTTTTTAATAAAATACAAGAACGAACAACTAAAGTGGAGAACCGAATTGTCAATGCTTAGCGTTAACCCATTAAACCAAACGGAAAAGCTACTCCTGGACTTCGTAACAGCGTTACCTTTTATATATGAGGAATCAGAGATCCCGTTATTCTACGTTATCTTCAGGACATGCTAAAGGAAGGGAACAACAGGCGTCCACTTAAAACTTCGATAAATTCGCCCATGTTACTCCACATAGAAATTTCCTCAAAGCAAATTTACCAGGTAACAAGCTAAGTCGAAATGATCGATTTTTCGGGAACATAGTAATTGTTGGTAACTAATACAATAAAAGCTATTGCTAATTAATGTAAGAGCATTCTACTAAGAAAACTGACATCCAAAAAGACGCTTCGGACCCAGGGTGGAAGTCGATGAGTGATTGGCGATCGAAAGTAAATGTTGCAGATCACGACAGTTATCAGAATTGTGATGATATTGAGCACGAACGTCAGCAGAAGGTATTTCGCCACTAACGGAATCGACAACGACGTCGGTGGCAGAATTTTTGACACCAGCAGCAGAAACACGACGATTGAAAGTAGCATGTTCATCGTCAGCCCCATTTTCTCGCCTGAAAAATTGACTATATCTCAGGGACCAAAACGAAATGCTTTTGTGGACCGCTATAAGTGTCTCATATTTACTAACAAGTAACACTTAATACATTCGTTAAGACGTTGTTTTACAACAAATGGCGACAAAGTTCGGATAAGTAGCGCACTTTCGAAAACATAATGAGACAATGGTACCTCTCTGGACAAAACTCGCTTAATTAATCGCCTCTTAGCCCAAAACACGAGTTTAGGCGGCCAAAAGAGAAGAAAAAAAGGAGTTTTAGCTCTTGAAACTAGTTTTTCTTACTGAGAGAATAAGAAGTGTCCTAAAGGCAAAAGCCTTAAGATTTGAATAGTTTGGTTAAAAGACTGAAATGTTTTCGGATAGTCGGTTCACAGAGGGGGTGACATTTTGTCAAGGCTATTCAATTCTACTGACAGGAATATCACATGAAAACTAGAGTGTGCTAACATTAGAGTGAAATCACTGGCCAACTGCTATACGATTTCCCCGATGATGTTCACAACGTCCTTTCAACATCAAAGGTAAGCACCTAATTATTTAGTCATCTGATTTATCCGTTGTTCTGCCATAGAACATTTGAAAACAAAACACTACGACAGGTATTAAAACAGCAACTATTTTATCGCTTTTAGAAATAACGGACTACAATACGAAGTAAAAGAGCAAACCGGAAGCGGTGGGCAAATAGAAGACGGTAACGTTCAGAAAAGCCAACAACACGGTCGGAAGAATCAGAACAACAGTGTAGAATAACGTTTTTCTCCTAAAAAGTTGATTTATTAATGTAGCGGTCTACGCTTTATGTGAAAACCGTTGCCATCCTTGTTTCGAGAACAAGTTTGAATTAAAAAGATAACACAAGTGATACAAATCCTAAAAGTACAGTAGAGACTCAAAAGGATAAAGTTCCCCTAGAAATAATATAGAACCACATAAAAAGGATAAAGCTCTCGGCGTTGATCAATTCGTCAGGGAAGCGCCATGTATTCGATTCCATCAAGCATCAATTGGAGGTGATTGAAAGTATGTCTGACCTTCACAATGACTCGCGGTGGCCTACCGATGTATCGAACCAGTGCTGCCATCCTCCCAGACAAATCCGGTACCAATTTGCCTACTCCGGAGGGATGGAGGACTTAGTGGACCATGGGCACGGAGATCGATTCCACGTGTGTGTCGCAGTGGCGCCGCCAACCACTGCGCCACACGCGCCCTTATAGGACCACGTAATTCCCATAAATGTAATAACCACAGTTGTCGCATGGCAACATCACGAAGTCTACCATGCTATCCTGCACCATCAGTAAAAATCATTAATGACAGATAGTATGCTCAGAGAAATCCACATGGGATTGAGATCGTGGAGAAATTGACAGGCAATTTCACTTTAAATAAGACTGAACCCTTAATTAGAAGCCAAAACATACCTGATTTGGACTTGAAACTCGATTCGGCTACGATCTTCAGTGAGAATCGCCGGCGCATCCATCATGTCCCAAATGGACGAAGTTGCATACTCGGAGAAGTCAACTCGGTCAGAGTGAAGGAAATCAAGTTTAACTTCGTCCCGGTTGTACTGGAAAGTAATCTGTCAACAGTAGGAAGAAACGAAGCTTCAGCACCACTTTTCTATTTAAACACATGTCTAGTGCGTGCATTTTTTATGTTTGAGTAATTCCAGCAAATTTTTCTGTAGTCCCCCAGGAGAAAAAGAATTGCTCCTAATATTTCCAATAGACACCTGGGAGTCCACTATTGCCGCGGCTACGTGCACTAACCCAATTGCATACTTTTCCACGCTATTCTTTCCTGGATCGGCTTTTAGAAATTCTCTTGGTTTTCGATCGACAGCTCATCCAAGACACACGTGTCCGGCGCGCTTCGCGAAAATTGTTCTGTTCGATTAACAGTTTACAAAGTACCGATTTTCGGATGGGCTTGTCTTTAAAGTTTCAATACCGCGGCTGACACCAACATTTTTCCTGCATTTTCATACTGATTTCCAACATTTAGGGACGTGTTATCGCGCAACGAGTGCTAAATCTTTGACGAAAATTGCATGTAGAAAGCCTATGTGGACAAAGCGTACGCGATCCTCAGTGTGCTTAACTCTTAACAATCTTTCACTGATACTGGGAACGTTGTACTCAAAAACTTGTACATTACAGTAGAGAATGTGTTAAGCTTTACCTACTACTTATTCTCTTTTGTCGATTTTTTTTCTTCATTGCAAGGTGTGATGTGAAACCCAACAACAATGATGCGGAGATTAAACAAAAGCTGGATATTCACTTTAGCTTCGAGCCCACGATAATCCCTAGTTAATGTGGTAGTTTAATTAAGCGGAGTTTTGATAATATTCCAGCATTACTGTGGTTACAATCTAGAATTTTTACACTCTTACATGTTATTTGGAATCGTCACAACCCACAAACTCTCCAATTCTTTCAACACAAAATTTGTGTATAGCTATAGCCATTACAAACTCCACAGCTTATGTGTGAAAGTGAAACCTCGAGTAAGCTTAATAATCCAAGAACGTAGTGATTATTAATGTCGAGGTTAAATGGTAGTCGGTCCGAAAAATCTTTATTTATTACGACTGTTTCGTTCAGGGATCCGCTCTTCTAACATTTATTTGTGCACAATTGTTTACCTTGATCCAACAAATGGGTGGGTCCAACATGGGTCTCACGGGTACCGACTCATCCACACTTCATTATTCTCCTGTCCTCTTAACCTGCCACAATGTTATATGTGTACCTACTACTTGTACACATTTTTAATGATTTCACTCCCATGATTATTTCCACCATGTGGTAGTATGTATTGGCGGAACGAGTCTTTCCCTGCAAAGAGAGTCTCGTCAATGCACAGCTCCTTATCTTGCATGCGTTACTTTCCAATCGAAAGGTAGGAAACATTGAATTCTTCATGATGTTTGACAACTGTCAATAATCATAGTTGACCCTTTCCTTACCTTTTCTGTTGACGACTTTTAAAAAGCAATCCCCAGACATTCTCCACACGTAGTTGAGAAATGTGTAACTACCAAAGCAACGAAACCCTCTTTCTGCTATGGTGTAACCGATGCAAGCATAGTTTGTGAATGACTCTCAGAATATTGAATGCTGAGCCATGAGTAAAGTGTTAAGAATCTCGCCATTCACTCAAGAAAGTATGCTGTAACATGGAGTAAATCCCTCTAACTCGCGGCAGTGCAGTGATTGCACGCGTTGAGCATGCTAGAAAACATCAAAGTGGTTTGTGATGCAAACCAGGAAGCAAGGTGCTGGTTCGACCCTCTCCCCGATGCCCTTCCACAATCAACGTTGAAATGCCTCAACTTGGCTCTCTCCAGGATTGCAAGGACAACTAATCCGAACAGCATTCTACGACATTCATAAAGATGATAAAATTCTCAAGCAGCAGCAGAAACGACATGCGATATGTTGAATGACCTTTGTAAACGATGAATACGAGGAAAACTAATCGAACGCAAGAAGTGCTGAAATCCGCATAGTAGCTGTGATGACGGATTATATAAAAAAGTTGATAAAGATGGAATAATCCAAAAATCAAGCACCTTTCGTAGCTGGAAAATATGTCATTCTGTCGCAAATTAATGACGCCATCGAAATTAAGGTGGGCTGATATTTAAGTAATTTCTTTGAGAATCTAGCGAAAACGTAAAAGGTCCCGATCAAGCTTTGTGGGCAGCTGGCGCTTCCTTTTGGGCCCGATTACTACCCTCTCGTTCAAACAGAATGATGCTTAACCATAGGATACGGTCGTAAGGAAAAGGAAATAATATAGGGTACTGTACATTCGAAACGTGAATAAAATCTGATGAAGCATCTAAGTTAGAGCAATGTCGTGAACTCATAACAATGCTCCGTTTTTAAACACGAAGTTCTATTAATATTCTCTCTAAAGATTGTTAAGAGTTTCAGAAGGTCATGAACAAATGCGAAACACTTAACTCACCGTCCAGCTTCCAAATGTTAAGCTGCACCGTTGGTCGTCGAACGGAAAAAACTCGACATCTATAGGTAATGAATATACATTTCTAAGGAAATTCCAACTTTCATCCTCTAATTACTAAATGGATAACAACATAATGTTTCATTTGCAAATTTCCACAAAGAAAAGAATAGTAGGATAGAGATAAAATTATAAAAATTCAACAAAATAATATCACGCCGTTGCAGAAATATGAGACATTGGAAATATACAAAACTATCCTACCCACGTTACCGCACTATGCCCACAGAAATTTTATTAAGAACGTCTACTAACGAGATCAACATATTTCGGAACATGACGGATTCCAAATAGGGATAGATGAAAAAATGGGAGAAGCCTGAACATCTAAGCAGACATTCTGTGATTGAGAAGCTCTGTAGAAGAAATAATGGTTGGCCAGGACTGTCAGAAAACCAAAAAATAAGCAAAGCGTAGAGGTAGACGGTTATCCCTATTGGAAGATTGTCGCAATGCTCCATTCCAAGTAGATTCGAATTGATGTCACTAAGAATTCACACATCGTAGGAATGAATAGCTACGGAGAAACGACTCTGATCATCGCAACTCTGAAGAAGAACATGACGCGAAAACGTTAGCCGGATAAATTTTTATGCCAACTGTGTACTAGGTTAATAAGTTAAGAAAGTAATGATAAATTCATTCCAAAGCTAAGTGATGGTCGCTTTTGAAAATATTTATGTGAAGAACCAGCGAAAGGGTTACTGTGGGTTCTAATCTAGCCTGAGATACAAGTTTTGTAAATAACTCAGCATCGTTGTTGTTCTATTGGAAGAGTTTGGGTAAGTGTCAACAACAATGCTTGAAGACATTGGTATGACTGTAAGCTACGTATAGTAATAGTAATCTTTGCCTTACCATGTGTAGGAAAATAAATACTTTTAAAAGTCGTCGTTAGTTGCAACGATCTGACTTTGGTTTCTGTCGAAATACAATGTACTTTGTTGACATAACCCGTCTTCGAACATTTTGTGAATTTCAGCACCTCCTTCATTTGACTCGTTGACTCGAAACCGCCATCGAACTGATCAAATTTCGTGTTGGTTTGGCCGCAATTTTAGAATTTTGTCTTCTTCACAAATATTCATCGAGATTATTTTCGCTGGAATCCTTGGAAGGCCCTGCTGAAGCGTCCTTCTATACAATAAAATTGGCAACGGTCCAATACCGCTATTTCAGGACTTTAAGGAGAACCGACTCAAACAGTATTCTGCGCCATCCAAAATGAAATGAAAATCGTCAGGCAGCATCGCAAGCCATACATAAAAGCTAGAAGCCCTTCGTGGATGACCGACAAGGAAGAAGTGCTTCGCTCAAGAAATAAAATGAAGAGAAGACACTATTCACGTGTATAAACTGTCGTTCCGTTGATCGTCGAGTGACTCGAGCGGGCGCCAGTAAATCTTCCAATTTTTCCCTGCCGCGTGCACGAGTAGCCCAGTGGGTCCTGTTCGCTCTAGGATCTCCTTGAGCATCATACCTTTCTTCTAGGCTTTTCGTGAAGAATTCCAATCGTCAGTGGTGTGCCTGCAGTAACAGCTCAAGAAGAATCCTTATATATTGAGTAAGGACTCCCTGACTATCAAGGGCTTCCATGACTTTCTATCTCAACTGAGAAAGCTATCTACTGACTATCTCAACAAAAGCCTTCCTTAAATCGATGAAAGTGAAACACAGCGGCCCTTTGTGCTCTCGCGATACTTCAATGAATTTTGCTATCGTGTGTATGTGGCCCATCGCACTAAATCCTTTTCGAAACCCTGCTTGCTCACACGGTTGTTCTTCGTCCAGTGTTCTGTCAATCTTGTTAAGGATAACTCGAGTGAAAAGTTTGTAGACGACAGACAGCAAGCAGATTGTGTGATAGTTGCCGATATTGTGAAGGCCACCCTTCCTGAACAATAACACGATCCTGCTGGTCTTCCACTGAGTAGGGACCATGTATTCCGACAAGTGACGTGTGAAAAACCCAGTCAGTGTGTTTACGAGGACTGACGGAGGGTTCTTCAGCCCTTCAGGTCCTGCACGGCCCTGGTGCTGCTCCATTTCTCACCGACGAAATGGCATGTAGGATTTTGAAAGAGAGAACCGGTGGTACAACATATCCATCCTCCTTTATTTCATATGAGGGAAGGTGGACATGGCTATCAAAGTGATCTGAGTAGTACTCGTGACTGATTTTCTCCATTGCCTTTCTGGACGCGGTAACTGTTCCGTCTGGGTGTCAGAGTGCAATCATTTTGGTCTTGTAATTGGCCAAGCATCGGTAGGCTTTGCGAATGCTTTTCCCGGCCTCTGCAGCTTTGACCGTAGCTGCTGCTCCTGCTTCTTTAAGATCTTCTTTTATCGGCTGTCTGCATTGTTTTGCAAGTTCAGATGTTACTTCACGGATGCTTGCAGCTCGTGCCATTCCGCGCTGGCGTATCAGCTCCAGAGTTTCCGGAGACAGACGTCTCTTGGTAACTTCCGAACTACCAGTTTTCATAGCGCTAAAGTGAAGATATTGAATGAGCCGATCGTATTCCTCCTCCATGTTCTCGCTAACGGCATCTTTCCAATAACCGATTAATAAACTGAATAAATCCCAATTTATGGTTGTTTTCGGACATCTATTTTTGAATTTAGCCACTTTTTAGCCTTCCCGCTAGACATGAAATCTTGCACGAATGATAAAAAAAATGGCCTGATGGCCTGATCACTTGCACAATTTTGGGACATCGGTTAGGCAAAATCTTCGATTCACTATAATGTGGTCTATGTCGCAATGGTACTCTTCATTGGAACACTCCCACGTCCAGCGTTGAGGGTGGGGTTTCTGGAATTGCGAGTTACCATGGATGGTCTTGGTCGTCATGATAAACTCAGATAGCCACTCACACTATTCGTTCTATTCTAATCCGTGGGTCCCAATGTAACGTTCTTCTGGGTCCAATCATAGCGAAAAAATCTCCGCCCTGAATGCATGGTCTTCTCTGCAGAACTTCTCCAAGTCTATATAAACGCTCGGACTTCTTCTTGATCGTAACTTGATATTGCTATGTAAACGACGAAGATTGTCAAAGCTGATGTTGTTCCACACCTCTTCTATCGTAAACGTCCGATTCGGGTTGTTAATTGTTCGAATGAATCGATGGTCATGGATAAACTCGTGTGGACGAGAACGCCGACGCTGCCGACTCCTCTACTATCGCATGCTCCGAGGAACAGTTCTTCTCCGGTGTCATAGATGGCGTTGAAAAGCTGTCGTCTTCTCGACTCGGCCATGCCGATGACGTCGTACCTTATCCTTCTTGCTGGCATGATCATCGACGACTCAGATGAAAGTGTGCGTGTACTGTAGGTACTGATCGCCACTGTAGTCCTTTGCGATTTAGGCAGCTTTGGGTTCGGGAAATGAGGCCCGTTTATTTCACTGTGTTCAGCTCACAGGATCGACTTTCTATTAAGCTCGGCATTGGATTACAAATTCTTTGTTTTCTTTCTCAGCAATCGCGAGGTTGTCAAACAGCATACATTTACTTCTGTACAATAACACACCGACAACACAACCGTAGCTGACGTTTCGGCAGAATCGCCTTCTTCGGAGCCTGGAAGGGTACACTAATACGCAATTTACTAGGTCAAGCGCTTCAACAGCACGAACAGAAGGATGAAAACGTGAACGACAATTACAAGATCTACGGCTTCTCGAAAAACCCGCCGCTTTTTTCACCTGCCTTCCACAATGGAAGAACAGCCTTTCAGAGTCGCACGCGGTTGACGACTGCACCACCCCACATCAACGATCGATACGGAGGTACGGGGCGAGATCACGTGTGATCTCCGGGCATTCCTCCCTGCCATTCATTGTAGGATTTTTGGCATTTATCCAAAAAGCCTTAAGGAGTATGCGCGTTAATGTTATAGGATCCTGTGCGAGGATAGCGACTTTTATATAAAAATCGTCTCCGCTATGCTCCTGTATCCCATGAGTCTCTACTGGCGTGCCTTGTTTTGCTTTTCGCTTGCCATCTAGGTGCCCTTTTATGCGGATACATAAAGGTTTGCCCATTTCGCCAATATATTCTTCTCCGCAAGTACCACAAGGGATCAGGTGTATCGTACCTGAACTCATGCAGTCACCGTCCCTGCCATAAGGCAAATTACGCAATTCTGTTTTTCATATAGACGGTTGTATAGGTGATTATGAACTAATTGATAACGAGAAGTATTCGATGGTATTTCAATTATAGCTGCCGATTCCTCTAGATCTCTCCTCTTAAGCATCGCTTTATCGCTACACTTATTTCATCGCTAATAAAAGGCAAGATGAATGGGATTTTGTTTCGGCCAAACCGTTCGTTTTCGGACGTTGCTCTGCCTCGAAACTTATCTCGTGGAGTAACTACTTCGTAGCCATTGGAAACGACTATTTGCCGAGCCAAGTCGCGCGATTCTTCCTTTAGCTCTCTACTTTTGCACGCAGAGGTGGCTGTTCGAAACATGTTTAGCTTTTTGATACCCATGTATAGCTTGCTGAACTCTGAAGGTGAGGCTAAATATAGTCACGAGTAGCTTACCGGGCTTCTCATAGTAGATGGGAAGCTTATCTGTAGGAGACGACTCCTAACCGCCTTCCATATACTTCCTTGTCAATTGATCGCAGGCTTTTGGCAGACTCGTAGAATATAATCCGCATAAATGAGAACACACGCACGTATGCACGAATACGCCCTGGTAAATACAGAGTGTGTGCCAAATCGGCGCACAGAAACAGAGAATACTTCCCTTGGATCCATTTGCGTTTCAGGATAATAAGGTCGCTTTCGGTCCGCGATTAACCCTCTATCCGCCACCTGGGGACGCGTCACGTAGCCTCGCGACTAACCGGATCCAGATTCCTCATATCAGGGAGATCCGTGGAATCCACCGTTATTCTACTATAAAGGCCAAAGATTTGCAGAAGAAAAATATTCAATTGAGACTGAGAATTATGACGAAACTCACCTAAAACCGAAAAGTTATATGTTATGAATACTTTTGGGGACAAATAAATGTTCTTTCATATCCAAATGATTTAGACTCCCATTAGTACGATGTGAGGGTTTTCGTGCCGGTCGTACTACACAGCTCGACAGATTTTAAACAAAAGTTTATTAATGTTAAGCTGAGCCATAAAACTAAGAATCTGACTGGAAAGTGTTTGCTCTGTGTTTGAAAGAAATCGAAAGTACGAGAGTTGTTGGCGGACGAACCGATGATGCAGCTGCTCTTGTAGATTGCTGGTGGCACCCAAAGCACCTCCCCGGTATGGTGAACGAGTGCATTGCACATGAACGACACCTCGTAATTGCCGTCGGCGCTGTAAAAATTAATAATTTATTCATTCGATGAATGATATAAGAAAGGACTAGGGAAACGCCTCAGGCGTTGATCAATCCCTCAAGGATGCACAATGCACTCGACCCCGCGAACCGTTCAGAGATGAGTGCACGGGTATTTGGCCTTCTTGTGCAGCCAACCGGTGTATCAAGTCGCTACTTTTTTTCCCAAACAAGTCCAGCATCAATCTGACGCCAAAGGGTTGTAGGGGTTGGTCAGCCCCGGGTCTCGCATCGAAGTTACGCATTATCTCGGAGGGATAAAACAAAGTTTCTGATGTGTTCCCTAGACCATACCTTTTGAAAATTTTCACTTATCGAAAACTTTCAGCAGTTATCGAAAAATCAGGATGGTGCGTTATGCGAGTCGCCAATTTTTGACCAGGAATTGAGCATTACTTAACTTCCAACTATTATAATTAATAATGCTGCTGTGTTAGGTAGACACATATGAAAAAGCGAAGTTGATCAAATGTAAGTTCTAAAACGAACTCCCAAACGCTGCTAGAAATATGGTCATATTAAGAACCAATGTAACACGCAGCCCGAGAGCGACAAAGCAGTCTATCACTCTGTTTGGCCTCAAACTCGTCCTGTAGTTATCGAAAAAACTACCGCCTCCCAAGGAAAAACTAGCATTATTCACTATGTGATGACCACGATGTGTTGGAATACTGGACGAGATGTATCAAGTCTACAAACGATGAAAAGCTGCAAAACCTTCATGGCCCACCGAGTTAAACTGGCCGTCATACTGAGAACAACAGAGCAGATTGTCTAGCTTCTCAACTCATTTTCACTTTCCTTTTTTCTAAATGGTTAAATCACATTTCCCATCCATCTCTCGCTATCATTGAAGGAGCTCTACGTTTTCAATCTTAAAACTGCTTCACTCGAAATCGGTCCAGTAATATTTTTCTAGCACATTATCTTGTTGAAGCGAAATTCCTTAGAATAAAACAAAACCGGATTTTCGTTTCAATTCAAACAACTTATTCATCTTGAGACGTAACTGACAAAGTCGGAGGATAAGTGAAGTTAACAACTGCTTCCGTTCCGAACGTTTCTACTTTTCTAAATTTATCCTGAAAAAGAAAACACCAAAAACGTGAGAATAAAACTGAGATTCTGTGCCAATCAGAGATGGGAGAAGAAGCATCGTCTCTTCGATAATCTTGTGTTGATCCAGCTCTATTATCCAGGTAAACATGGTGCAAAATACTAGAACATAAAGATGAATGGTTAAAACATGAATAAAGAAATTCAAACACAAACTTACTTATTGAAAAGCACAATATCGGGAAGCCAGATTTTGTCTGGAGCGACACGGATCTGCTTTATACCGTCATAGTTCTTCGGATCCCAGCGCATTTGAAAATCTTGCCATTTCTGAAAACAAACTTGAACGCATTTAACACATAACGTCAAGCATGCATTGATCCCAATGCATGTGCTGCGGAAATAGCGGCCGATGTAGTGTTTAAATGCCCATATTTTGGTTTATATTGAATCTTATTAAATGAAATAGAAATCATGGGAATCTACAGATCCTTGCCGACCAAGTACAACTCTGTATTAACCTTCCAAAATGGAATTCTGGCTTTTTTCGGTGTCCCAAAAACGTCTTTTCTCCACTATTTCTTTCACTTTTTTGAGTAAACTGTTGTATTTCGGATACAGAATCAGATGAACAAGCGGGATTATCTTCACCACAACAAGACCTCCAATGCATCGTTGTTGTTCCCAACTAGCCCTCTTGAGTGCGAAATTTTGAGAATTTAGACTTTTTTATAATTTCGCGGCAGGGTACTAAGCGAAATACAACCACAACGTTGCTGAGATATTTACAAAACTCTGGACCGCACGTGTCTATGGTGGGGAACGAACGCGCTATTGTCCTTTCCGGAGAGTAACGCGTTCACCACCACACCATGCGGGTCCTTTGTTTTGCCTGTCTCTCAGCTATTTCTATCGATCTTTGCCACAACAATCACCCGTCAGCGGGATTGATCTAAGGCGCCCAAATCGGCATAGAACCCAGTTAAACTGCGGCTGTAGTTGAAATCACAACGTTGGTGGACTCTGGACTCCAGGGAACCACAATGGCTTGACCAACAAATCTCCGAAAAATCGAGATTATGCGTGGGCCCACGCAACCAGTGAGGACGGGCCATTCAAGTATCGAATATCAAATAAAACTCAAAAGTTCAAAGACAAGTTTGAGTTTAATAAGTGGAATTTGAATTTTCACATATAAGTTGAAGTAAGTGGAATCTTCATATGTGGGCCATCCGAAGGTTTTAGATAGATAATCGCGGGTTCAAACCCTAACTGAAGTACAACCACAACGTTGCTGAGATATTTGCAACACTCTGGACCGCAGGTGTCTATGGTGGGGAACGAACGCGCTATTGTCCTTTCCGGAGAGTAACGCGTTCACCACCACACCATGCGGGTCCTTTGTTTTGCCTGTCTCTCGGCTATTTCTATCGATCTTTGCCACAGCAATCACCCGTCAGCGGGATTGATCTAAGGCGCCCAAATCGGCATAGAACCCAGTTAAACTGCGGCTGTAGTTGAAATCACAACGTTGGTGGACTCTGGACTCCAGGGTCTGACCAAAGTCCGCCACAGGTCTTCGCCACCACAGGCAGTCCCAACCCTTGTGGATCAGAGGGAGGTTTGCCACCATGCGACAAGGACGATGGTGGATCCTGGTATTGGTTTACTTTTAGCTGGGCTTCCTGATGGAAACGCCGGATTCGGAGACCCTTCTGGGAGGATGAATTCCCTCGCTGTACACTGCAGCTCAACACCGAGGAAAACCTCCCATCCACGATGAGACGGTAAACCATTGGGAGATTTGCTAGTTTTATTGTAAATAAATCTAAAATTGAAGGAATATTCCACAAACATTACATAAACCCCTAAGCCAATGTCTCTTCTAGAAGCTTCTGAAGTTCTAAACTCTTCAACTACTCCACTAATCGAGAAATCCCTGCCAGTTGTCGAAAAATGAACACCAGTATTGTTAAAAGTCTATCCATTAACAATAAATGAGCAATTTCTTGGAAGATCTAGAAAAGTAAACACGAAAGGATACTAAAGATAAATTGACTTCTCACATGAAAGTTTGTTAAGCTCGAAGCACCCAAACAATAAAAATGCCACGAAATTCTCTGTATTAATGTTCATATTCATTTAAGCAGTTACTAGAAGAGATTTTTTCATAAAGCAAAGAAAAATATTATTGTTGCGTCTCAGATGTCCATATTATCTATTGTAAATGTTGAAATGTAAAGGAAAAACTGGCATAGATTACTGAGAAAGCATAATGGTAACAAACTATTGTATAAAGAACCTAAACTCACCAAGGTCAACCACACGTTTGTGTGCATCACCTGCTCTTTCTCATCCTGAAAGCACGGCAAACATTAACTTAACTACAGAAGCACTAAGCTTCACCTCACATGTCAGTTGAGGGAATATTGATGTCCCACCATTTGCATCTTAGGTGTTCATTTTATCCTCCCTTACTTGATAGCGCGTGTAGCGCAGTGGTCGGAGGCGCCCTACAATACAAATGGGATCGATCCTCGCGCCCTGGTCCATCAAAACCTCCATCCCCGCGAGGTCGACAAATTGGTACCAGACCCGTCTAGGGGGATAGCATCACTGGCCCGATACATCGGCAGACGACCATGAGCTATTGTAAAAGTTTGATGTGCATCCAATCACTTTCAACGATGCTTAATGAAATCGAATGCATGGTGTATCCCTCAAAAACTGATCTACGCTAAGAATTTATTTTAACATCTTTTTAATTTCTTTTATCCTTTTACATGACATGGCAGCATTTATGATAGCGAGCCAGATAATTGAGAACTACATGAAAAGTGACGGCGGAATGAGTGATAACTGTTAAGTTTAAGCCGTTGTTACAGACGTTGACGAGCTCAGTGAAGTCGTAAACATGCTCTTTGTGTGATCTTATACGGTCTGTCTGTTGGGTTGCTCCGGAAATAATGTCCGATTTGTAATCTCATTATTCTTGTATATGTTTAAGCAACAGTTTTCCTTCTTAATGCCATACTATTATACATCATTGTAAAGCTCATTTTATGCACTTTCGCTAGGTTTAGCTGAGTTTCAGTACAAACTATATTTTTGATAAGTTCTATGGGTCCGAAGGAAGCGTGTTGTGCAGTGTTTAGAGGCGCCGCCACGACACGCACGTGGAATCGATCCCCGCGCCAATGGCCCACCAAGCCTTCCATTCCTCCGGGGTCGGCAAATTGGTATCAGACTTGTTTGGGAAGATAGCAGTATTGGCTCGATACATCGGTAGGCCGCCGCGTGTCAATGCCAAGGCCAGATATGCATTCAATCACCTTCAACGATACTTAATGAAGTCGAATGCACAGTGCATCCCTCAAGGATTGATCAACGCCGAAAGCTTTATCCTTTTATCTATGGGTCCGAATTTCAGATGTCAAAACAAGGATTTAGACAAACCTAATTCCACGAATTCGAACCCATATTTAGTGAAGAGCAAACAACTCAAAATATTAACGAAATAGGTATCAGGGAAGTGTTAACGAAGGCTCAGTGCCACGCTGACTTTTGTCGTGGTGAGCTCCAGATTTGAGATCGCGGAGGTCGCGGACTGTTCCTGTTATTGACGACGATGAATTGGAGGGAATCGTGTAAGCCATGCACAACTGTTCGAGAAATTGTAGAAGAACTCTGTATAAGAATCAAAGTGTTTCGGAGTATCTAAAGGCAACTAGGAAGTCCAAGAAGCTCGACAAATCAACTCCGCATGGATTCAACGGAACGACAATCGAAGAAATCGACGTTTTGAGGTGTCTTCGGCGCTTCTTCTGCATAACCAGAACGACCCGCTTCCGCAGAGTGTTGTAACGTGCAAAGAGTAATGAATCCTACATGGAAGCCAGCGATGATCAGCTCTATGGTCGGAACATGATGAAGGTCCGTAGCACTTCCCAAAGCCGAAATTGAATCAAAAGCTCACGCTGAAGAGTTGCTGATTTGTTGCTGGTTTAATCCATCACAGCTCATTGAATCTGGGTGAAAGCACTATGGCGAAGAAGCATGTTCGACAAATGGAAACAATGCACCACAAACTTCAACAGCTCTACCCTTATTGACCAACAGAAGAACGTCAATCCTCTACGATCACGTGCGGCCACATGCCATCGTCCTACCGACCCTGCAGAAGTTGAAAGAGTTGGGCTACGAAACTCTCCAGTAACGGCCATATTCACTAGACATTCCTGCTACCAACTACCACTTCTTCACGGTCTCCACTGCTTCTTTTGCGAGAAATGTTGCAGAAATGAAGCCGAGACCAAAACTGCCTTCATCGACTTCGCCGCCTCCAGAAGTCCAGAACTTCGAGCACCTGGTATGACCAGACTTGTTTCTCGCCGGCAAAAAGGTATAGATGATTCTGGGGGTTTTCGTTTCGATAGTTCAAATTTTCACTAAACTTAGATATACCACTTTCAAAGTACGGGCTGCAATAGCGCATTAGTATCCAAAGAACCTAGTGGCACACATGTGATCTCGCTACTTAAGTGGTGGACAACGAAAGAATGGTGAGCGTACTTGTGTTCCGTGTTTAGAATTTGAGCTTTGTCTCTCTGACAACTCCGATGTGAGCGGATTTTCATCCTTCTGCGTAGGTAGGGAGCAGAGTGCACGGCACCAGCAGATAACGATTGATTTTCTTGCGGCCGTTTATTTTGCCGCACAGAGGTTTCTCGCTCCACTTTTTGCAGTCAATCGATAGCTCATATAACACGGACCATTGTTTCTGGGTGTAAAACCTGAAACACTATCCTCTATGCTTAATATGCGGCGAAGAACTGCTTCGAAAGTTTGTTTCGTGGTGAAAGGCTGTCGTTGAAGGGGGAGTCCATTGAGGATTGACACTTATGGTGTTATTTTCGTCACAGCAAGATGATAATTCGTTGAGCAGACTTGTAGAGGTGTCATTGTAGCATAGGTAGCTTTACAGTTTCGGTGTCATCAAAATTTTCGCCTAAAAGTGGCCTATGCGTCCATCAATGTCTCCACATTTCGTGCCTTATCTCAAAGTCTTATTCTGATAAATAAATCGCTGTATTCTTGAAAAGCACATAGGAAAAGCTCTCGGCGTTGACCAAACCCTGAAAGTGTACCATGCATTCGAGTTCATTAAGCATCGTTTTGGAGGTGATTGAATGCATGTTTGCCCTTTACAATGACTCGCGGTGGCTTAGTGATGTATCGAGCCAGTGCTGCCATCCTTCCAGACAAGTCTGGTAAGAATTTGCCGACCCCGGAGAGATGGAGGGTTTGGTGAGCTTGGGGCGCTGGGATCGATCTCATGTGTATCGCAGAGGGCCTCCGACCACTGCGCCACACGCGAAAAGCGCGTACGAGATTGTTATTGGACTACTTATTCACCTACAGTGAATGACGTTTCGGCGGATTTCGCCTTCTACAGAGCCTGGAAAGTTCAAGTTAGTTGCAACCTAGTTAGTTAAATACTTCTAGATTTCAATCACAAACAAACAGTTTCTTCGCATACTTAACGCTCTCTGTAAGTCTTCCATTGAATATTCCACGTGCAGAACAACACACAGAGTTCATCCCCTCACGTTAGCATATCAGTCTCAGATATTCTATGCGATCACATGTGATAATGGAGCGTTCCTTTCTCTGGTTTATTTTTGGATTCTTGGAATTTATCCAAATGGTTCCAGGGGTTTTACGAGCTGAAGCTTTAGACTCCTATTCGAGAATAGTCACTTCTACTTCAAAATGGTCTCCGTTATGTCTCTGTGTCCTAGCGGAGTATTTGGTCTAACTTTAAATTTAGGGACTAGATGTTCTGTACCATACAAAAGGTTGCATATCTGGATTAGCTTCTTAGAGTGTTCGCTGCTATCAATCACTGCTACTGATTTCCCTACATACGCTTGGTATCGCGTCATGTATCGTGGAAATCATAGTAATGTCACACTCATCTTTTCATTTGAGCAACAATGTAGCCTCTTGATTCTGTTCGGCTTTCAGTTGTCCTCTCATCAGCTTCAAGTGGACAATCTTTTTGGAGGCACTTTTCCCGCCTTTCCCACATGTGCCAACAATCAGATGGTTTTCCCTCCCGAGCAGTCTCTCAGCAAGAATTCCCATAGGCCATTTATTGGTTTACAGGTGTCTTCAATTGACATATAAATCGCCCGTGAGCTCCGACACATCGATTCAGCCACATCTCCAGCTCTCGCTCTTTGCCTAGCTCCATATCTTGCATGCAGCTTCAAGCGGACAAATTGAATGCCTTAGCTCGGTATTTGGCTTTTAGTGTAAAATACCACCAAAGTACACCTCTAAGCAGCATCAGAGAATCATCGGCAAACACGATCTTGACGAGTCCGTAGATCTCCAGGCAATTTCTGTTGAGAAGTTTCTGTTGGTCTGATCTTGCACAGCTTCTCTTGTCTATGGTGGCATCCATCATCACCAAAATGAACATGAATCGCCAGCTTGAAACGTTTGTCTCCTGTTATTTCTTTCGACTCAAAAAGATTTGATACATAGATTCGATCTAAACCATACAAATCTTCTTTCAAGCTACTGGTTCTTGCATCCTTTGTAATCTCTATGATGGGCAGTCCGCCTAAACGTCATCATCCTGTGATGTTTCTCTGTGCAATGAAATAAACCAGCTTCTAAATTTTCGATAAAAATACCTAGCACAAAATACGATTGATCAATAATTGATTGGCACTTTACCCACTTCTTCTAATGAAGCAAGGTTGTCTTACGAAATAAGTGGATATAAAAAATACCGAAATATAGGTATTATGAAACCAGTTATTAGATAACGACAGCATCGTAACTGGTCAAAAGACAGCCTTCTATCAATACATGCCAGAGTACAAGATGTTCGAAACACATGGGACAATGCACAGAACAGTTTCGAAGCTATGTGAAAAAAAGGCAGAAATCATTAAACAAAAATAAGCAGGAAAAGCTAATTGTAGAAAGGTTCTAACCAAAATGGTTTAATAATTGTCTAGAAGACCATTAAGCATCGAACCTTACTGTGCTAATACAGAAGATGGAGATAGAGATGCACCAACAAGCCTTCACTAGCAACCCCTTCACAGGATCCCCTCCCCCAAACGAATGAACTCGTCCGAACAACAGTTCTTTGCAAATTATAAGTGTAGAGAGTAGTTTTTACTGATCACTAGCTGATATTCTGGTCTGTGTTGGACACGTTACCAATTGAACACGAAAAAATAAACGAAAATCTGTGACCAGCAAAGAAAAGAACGCTAGCAAAGAAAATGAGGTGCTAGCAAATTAAAGCGATAAACCTGTCCGGGTGGCTTATAAATAGTCAGAAATCCACTTGAACTGGACTTTATGAGTTCAAGATATAACCACTTACAATATAAAGGACAATCCATGGCGCCAATTCTAGACATCTGTCACAAAAACAAAAAAAGCCTAAAAACCTAAAACCGCACCACATTAACGAGCAGAATGAGTTGCATTGCGATCTTGACGATCATTGGTAGATCGCTCTTATTTCGTACTGGTTGCACTAATGAGTTGTAGCCCTTGAACAGGTCGACCATCAGTCGATCCTCAGCGTCAGACATAGTTGATCTCACTGCTGAAAATTGATGCCATCCAACCCAATGCTGACTGAATTCACCGGACGATTCAGTAACAGATTCAGTAACCACCAAGCAGCGAACAGAAGGCAAAAGCGAGAAACACAAAAACATGCATTGGTAGGAAATATGACATTGGTGATGCGCCCGGCCGTAGGACGCAGATTCAGCTTGGAGGTTGTGTTTTTGAGGAAACCAGCTGACTGTAAGCAGTTCGTTAGCTTTATTTGGGTCCTAAAAAGAGGAACTAGAGAAAGAAAACATGGAATTATTCAAGAAGTTAGAGAAGTTTTTTCATGCAAACCTAAACAGGACGAGGTGTTCACAAAGGGTCCAGGAATTCATGTCAATTGAGCTCGAGTGACAAAATGCTTGAAGAGTGAAATGATGACACGCTAAGTGACAACAAGGCACCATCAAATTATATTAATCTTCCCTTCTTTTTTTCGACCAAATATTTCCGATGAGAACGACTGAGAATGGGATGCCGTGTGGTCTGGTGCTGACAATTCATCCATTCATTGATTGAGAAACGGAGTTCCGAGTCTACAAAAACGAGAACTATCCAGTCCTAGAAAAATCAGAATATTTTCATTGAAATAAATCTCTCCAATCAACAGGAAATTCAATACTGTTATAAATCGAGACATAATTTCAATACAAATGTGCAGACTATAATCTCTGCCCTTTAAAAAAAACCTTCTTAAAACGAATTAAAAATATGTCCATTTAAAAAACTATTACATATCCGGAAATCACCTTTGTAGGAAGATCGGCTTTCCAGGAAACAAAAATGAAGGGCGAGAAGAGAAATAGAATGAGTGACTACTTTGATGATTTAGCTAGGAACTTAAGGGATAAAGAGCAACTAAACTTTGAAGTCGGGAACAATACCAAAAAGCTACAGATCAAAAGCCTAGTGACTCAGTTACTTGAAGTTGGAATTCTGATTGTGTGCCGGATTTAGATTGGCGTTGGGGACGTCTTCCCATTGAGTCGGCACTCGGCATCGGGCTAAGCCTCCTCCACGCTCTCTAACCAAGTGTCCACTAAGCTCTTCCGACACACCGCACCAATACAACAAAACAAACACCCTACGTCTAAACCCATTCCATACATCAAATCCTACAACCTGTGATATTTTGGTGATATCGCCTTTATAAATTTACTACACCTTAAGTTCTTAGTTTGTTTTAAAAAATGCCGCGGAGGTTGTGACAAATGAATGGAAGTCTTGAGATGTTACCACCCACCAACTAGCAATATCACGTTCAGTTATTTTACTTACTCATGAAACACAAATGTTAATACTAACACCAATAAGCTGAATCATATAGGGCTGTCGTATTTTATGGAGATTTGAAGAGCTGGCTGATGAATGGGTAGGTGCTCACACTTTCCACAGATGAGTTTGGTACTAACTTACCTATTGAGATGAGTGATAGAATACTTATGGAGACTGCTTGAGGAACGAGCCAGTAACTTCGTTTACTCAACTGTCGTCTTCTCGCACTGGACCACAGCTCAGAAGTACCTTGCGAGTGGTCTGACTGATGATGAAACACATTTGCTTCCGGACGAGCGTTTGCGGCGAATCTAACGAGTAATTCATCGATTGTGAAAAAATGCTTCGCCACATTACCATATAAAGGAGGAATACTTCATTTAGAAGAAGACCCAGATGGACATCTCATAGCTACCGAAATCACATAAGCATTTCATTATCACAACATCGCAATAATCTGTCACAGAAATCCCATCATCTATTTTTTTATTGTTCTTTCATTTTTTATAACCTGTCATCACATCTTGTATCCTTATCCCAGCTCTTCTTTCTTTCAATTCGTTTCCTCACATCCATAATCCACAAAGGTCTTCGAACCCTTCGAGTGTGGGTTGGGCTGCTGCTCGACGATTTCGTCTTGCTTATGAATGTGGTTGAACGCTGGTCGTGTCAAATTTCCTTGAAATCTTGCGCAGAGAGTGAGTTGGAGCCAAACAAGTCTGCATCAAATTTCCGGCTCTGGAGGGACGAAGAGCAACGTGCTTGATAAGCCCGAAATAGCGTCGAACCAACACTACGCTCATGATGAACAGTATCACTACCACAGCGCTACCTGACCCATAGAAATTCAACAATTTAATTGTTGTTGCCTTAACAGTAATGATATAATGATAATTAACTAGTGCTGACCACCTTCAGACCACTGAGGTGTTCGTATTTGTTATTATCCTTCGTCTAAGACTCTAAAAACTTAACGCTTAGTCTTATTATATTTTACCTACTTATTTGGATACTTGTATGGGCTTTCTTCACCGATTGTGTGGGCCTCAGTGCACTCCATTCTGGATAATCACTGGTTTAGCCATTATGGTTCCCTGGAGTCCCGAAGTGAGCCAGGCCAAAGTCCCCAGGTCGTCAACGGCATAGGCAATCGCCACCCTTGTGGATCAGAGAGAGATTTGCCACCGTGTGACTATTTTGATACCATGTGGGTTGTGGGTTCTGGTATTCATTAACTCTTAGCTGAGCTTCCAGTTATAAACGGCGGACTCCCTCTCAGCTTGGGCGGCTCTACTTGGGGATGATCCCAGCTGTGAATCACAGCCCAACACCCAGAATACTTCCCAGCCACGATGAGGCGGTAATCGTTGAGAGACACCATATTTTAGTTATCTCAATTATTATGCAGGCCCCATTCTCGGACATTCCATTGTCCTCATATTTTCATTCTATGACGCACCGCTGATAACCTCCATCAGCGGTACCGCACTTCCCAACGGTTTGCCACCTCGTCGTAGCCTGGAGGTATTCCTGGGCGGCGGACCGCGACGTACACCGGGGATTCATCCCCCACCCCCGCGGCGTTTCATCCCCCGCAAGCTGAGAAGAAGTCCGGCGTTTCTATCAGGAAGCCCAGCTAAGAGTAAACCAATACCAGGATCCACCACCATCCTTGCACCAAACTAGTCGCATGATGCCAAATCTCCCAATTGGAGATTTACTGAGCAAAGTAGGAAACGAAGCCTTGCGCGATCTTTTATTATATGCATGCATACACCAACATGTGAAAAATCAGGTGGGAACGACAAGTGTTACGTCTTAAAGACAACTGGTGGACAACAGCCGCTAGTGAATAGCTCTCAAAGAATGTTAAGCGCACAGCTGGAATATCAACCACAAAATGTCGGGTCACTTCGCGAAAACCCTCGAAGAAAAATGTGACGCCATTCCATTTTCTAAGGGCTGAACCACTTAGGGTGATCTTGCACGCAACGGGAAAAAGTGGACATTGCTGCCACACGATCGAATCAGTAAATGTATTTCGGAGGATACATAAAGCAGGTGGTCCGTGCTTCATACTTTGATTACTTTACTCCACCTAAAGAAAGAGAAAAGCTGAGTAGATGACATGTTCAGACATTCGTATCCTTCCCTGATACTAACCAACATTGCTGTATTCATCTACAAGCATTTTTCAGGAACAAAAACAACAAACACGATGACGCGATGACGCCATCGTCATATGTGCTTTCTTTTATGGTTAGAAGTGCATAACAAAGCTTTATTAAACACAGTGTTTCACAAAGGCAAGGATGAACGGTACGAACAATTTCATTACGACAAAAAGTGACACGATCTTTGTTCACGAGCCAGCACCGTATAAGTTCTTGTCATAACATAATCTCATAGGTAGCTAATGTAGTCATCAATTACACAGCCAAACTTTAATGCAATTTCGTCGATGCATGATTTTATGTGAAGGCGGCATAGGTCACGCTGAATTACTTCTTTGGAAACCTAGTGAGACATGGGAAGTACGGTGTCTGGGGATGCCGAGCAAAACACGCATGGTCGCCGGTTCAATGCCACCCGTGGCCAGCCAGGCAGAGCCAAGAACACAGGAGTAAAGATCTGCTTAAAAATTTCAAACTCTATTTTCGTAGAGAAGGTCAACGGTGTAAGTGTTTCTAGATAGAGAGAGGGAGACAGAGAGTGAAGATCACAACAAAAGGTGTAAATTGAAAAGCACACCATCAATCGGCACTCTCCGGCAACGATGCGCTGATCTAGTCGCTAGCTTCTATACTCCAACCATGTATACTCCCACTAAATCCAGTTTGACTAAGGATTTACTAGATTGTTTGAAAGATACCCGTCACCCACATCAACCCAGTAAATCAGTAAGAACAGGACTAACAGGTCTGTTAGTCGATAACCTCGTTCAAAGGTCCAAATCGTATGGCAAAAAAAAATCCCACCAAAAGCCGCCTACTTCATGTAGCAACGACCTCGCAAAGCTCTATCCCAGCTATCTCGGGATTCTAGGGAGAAAACAAAGATAGTTCATAGGGTCCAATATGTCAGTGACGACATACGGTCACAGTTCAAGACATATACGAACACTGCTACTCATGTTAATGACAGTTGCAGTACACTAACACTAACGGAAGAAGTGCCGAGAATTCTACATGTCAGCACGGACCATCTATGCAGGACCAATAAGAATGGACACAAACATGGTCTTACAGGTAAACAAGTAGAAGACTGTTGGAGGCCTTGAAGCCTTGGCACTACCACACATTAGCATTCGTTTCATCAAGCTAACAATCATGCGTTAACTAATACTGTTGAACGGTACTGGTGGATCTATTTTTAAACTAAACAACAAGATTCAACGTACAGTCGACGATTACCCAGTGCAATAACGTGTCCGAAGAAAACATAAGCACTGGCCACTTAGGTTGTGAAGGAATTTCGTTCCCATTCTGTACTACACTGGACATTTAATCCTATCCCACAGTGCTAGCGAACTTCAGCAGTCAGGAAATGATTACTCTTCATATTTACTGAAATGCCATGCTTCATGGCAACAACGAGATTACGGATCACGATTGGTGAATTACAGAGAATAATATGATTAACAGTAGCTGAACTTTATTATGGCAATCGATCCGGTAGAGGATCAATTTTGCAGTAATCGATATCGGAAAACAGCCGTGTGCGAATGGAACAGGCGATGCACGGACACCTTATGGTTCATCACAACCACAGCTAACGCTTAATGAACACTTTTATTAAATACTCATACACGGTGTAAATAAAATAAAAATCTCATTCGATTTCCCAAGTCTTAGAAAAGTGGTGCTGCTTGAAAACAATTCACAAGGCACTTTGCAACGAGCTGCTAGCACAGCTTGCAATAAGTCTATAAGAACGTATTCATATAGTTACATAAAATGAATACGACATAATGTATTATTAATAAAATTTACATGGAGATAATATTGGATACAGAATGGCACTGATTAAAAGTTAAAATAGCATGGGACAAGAATTAAGACAGAAAACAGTCAGCTATGCTTGAAAGGAGCCATGTTCAAAATAGAAGAAATTTGACAGCATAGATCAGAAGTGTAAAATGCAAACATACCAATTCACAGAAGTCCAGAAAGAAAAAATCGGGAAGCAGTTTAGAGCTTAAATTTTGAGAAGTGCAGATAGCTCTGCATCTCAACGATATTTGGAGGGCACAGATGTCTGCACACATGACCGACGATAGCGGCTAGGAGTTGTTGGAACGGCACATTCGTTTAGTTGTTGTAAAGCGTTCAAAATCTTCTTTCCAGACGAGTATCTTAATTTGAAACATTATGGAAGCATAGTACACTACGTGTTGACAAAATAGATTTTTTTCAAAAACTATTTTGTAAGAGAGATTGGAGAACTCCTTTACAAATGGTTCACAAAAATATAAATTATCCACTCTACTTCGAAACCTCTAACACGTAACCAACGAGAATTCGGACTATTAGAACAATAATACGACTTTATACTATTACTATTTTATACGATTACTACTCCTATATTACTATTTTATATTTTAATTGTATTTTTTATGGGAAGCGTAGCACAGTAGTAGTGATGTTGGTCACCACAAGCATGGTACTAGTTCGATTCCGCTCCGGGCCAGCCAAGTCTCTTGTCCCGCCTGGGTAGGGGATTGGTACCTGGACTTATCCGGAAAAAATCACTCCCTACAACCTAAATGGGAACATTCCAGCCAAGCTTCTCAAGATTCCAGTGAGAATCTACTCGACCAGCACTCCACGACACAGTAGCCGACAGCCACACGTAAGTGTTGGAAGATTTTCGAGGGAGATGGATGCGAGGAAAGCAATCGAATACGAGAAGTGCTGAGATCCTCACAACAGTCGTGAAGACGGGTTGTGCAAGAATAAACGTAAAAAAGACGACCGTATTAATACTGATAATTGATACGAAACAGAAAACTCGATTGAAAAGACCTTGCCAAACGGTGACGATTATGCACGATCCGAGATTCAAGTCGGTTGAGCCATCCCAGTCGTTGTTCCATATCAGGTAAGTTGATTCCATTACTAAATTAACGTTAATATCGTAATCAAAGAAATAATAAGAAGAACATAAGGCTACTACCACCTTTAATTCAATGGGTATGAAGAAAGTATATACTGAAATAGTGAATTACCTTTTCGCTCGAATAGCTTCGCAGCAAATGTCAAGCATGCGCTGGACGACATAATTTCCATACTGATGGAATAACAATATGTCCAAGGCATCCTTCTTGGTCTCCCTTTAAAGAAGGAAGGTAATGCCATCTTCAAGAAAATGGTTAAAAGCTTACGGGTGTGGTATGTATCCATCAAATATCTCATCCATCATTTCGGCCAGCAGTACAGGAGGAGCGAATTCAAAAGCCTTCTCAACCACGTGAGATGCATACTTCTCTTGAGACAAAGACAAAAGATTTCTCCTAAAAGTGAGTAATAGAAGTCCTCCTAGTTCAAAACGCAGTTAAGGAATTCTCGACATGAAACATGACCACGGCTCAGCATTAGTTATAACAAACGTCCACATAACAGTATTTAAGAGAGAAGACTTACAACAGGCATTCCTCTATTAGTTTATCACGATAATCTGACAGAGTTCCTGCCTTTATGACGTGTTGGATGACATAGTTTGCAAATTCGTTCGATGCTAGTCTTTCACAGTTTGAAACTACATGATCCATCAGTTTTTCAAGCAATGGTGAACGACACTTGCTGATCTTCTAGGATATACATCATTGTCGTGAGGAACTGATTTAAAAAAATATATCGCACTTAAATTTTATCTTGAAAATTCGCATCAATGCAGGGAAATTACGCATCTATTCACTGTAAACTAAAACAGCTAAGATAGCATATGTAATGGAAATCACCTTATTCGTATCAGAAAGGAGCTCAATAGCCAACTGTATCACACGGCAACCATACTTGTCTTCAGCAACGCTAAAGAGCTCTTCACGATTATTAACAAAGTACTCCACCACGAACTGCCAGTGAGAAAGAGTAAACGACGTCATTATCTGAAAATATTCCCAACTATAAAGCACGTACTGCATCACTGATAAGCAAGCACGAGGTTGATAGAAAGGCTTATTCGGCTTTCTAGAACATGAAGACGTCGACCTCCCTAGCAGGGTTTCTCAGGCTGGCGAGTCCGGCGTTTCCAGAAGTCTAGCCAAGAGTAGACCAATACAAGAATCCATCACCGTCCTGGTATCAAATTAGTCCCATGATAGAAAACCTTTCTCTGATCCGTAAGGACTGCGACTGCTTGTGCTGGTGCAGACCTGAATCAGGCTTTGGCCAGGCTGAACTCAGGATTCCAGAGAATCACAATGGCTTAACTAGGAAATCTTCGAAAAAGTGGAGAATATGCTGAAGCCCGCACAACCAGTGAGGACGGGCAATTCCAGTATCAAGTAAGTAAGACGTCGAAATGTCAACCGAACAAACCCTTCTATCAACCTCATGTAAACCTACTAATGAAAGAATACATATTTATCAGCATGGCGAGGTTTAAGGAAAGTCGGTTTTTGAAGTACTGTAAAGTACATTCAACTCTATATGGAAAGCAACTGAATGATAGTTTTTCAAAAATTCGAAAACATGTCAAGTGTTTCCTCTACTCTGTGCGCCCTGCTGCTTATTTAATACATCCGGAGGATACTTATCCATTGATGCCTTTCATCAAACTGCATTTCCCAAATAGTTCTTCCACTTTCGTTCAGTTTATGGGAAATGTCACCACTACTGTTCACACTGTCGAAATAAACGAACTGATTTTATTTTCGTTAAAGCGATGATAAAGATGTTACACGTGGATGCACAGGAAATGGATACGGAAGGAATGTAGAACACATTGGCGAACACGCAGTAGCTTGGTCTTCGCCTGCTAGTTCGATGAGTAATATCTGACTCATACCTACCATGTATCCTCCATAAATGATTTATATATTCCCTTCTCATTAGTCTTTTTTTCTCCTACGTAAAAAGGCTAAAAAATCGTCCAGAAACTTAGATGTCAAGTATGTGGTAGAAACTCGGTTAAAATCAATTTTTTTTCTAAGTACGTTGTCTAAGTAAGTTCCTAAGTATGTAGTAATATGTCTAAGTCTAAGTTTCTAAGTATTTCTAAGTATAAAACAAAGCTCTACTCGGTCGACCTCACCATAATGTGTTAACTAAGCGACCGAATGGAAAAGCGTAGAAAACGTCTCTGCGCAGCAAAAAAAAAACGGAAGAGAAAAAGAATCGTATACGACTCACGGCGATCAGTTTGATCTGAAACCCATGACCCTTATAAGAATCATTTCAATACCAATGTGTTAACACGGGCGTAATTATCAAAACTATTTTACGATGGACAATGCGGAGTGTTCAACAGATTTGTGACAACATGAGTTGATTCCAACACAAACGTCGCATAGGACAACTGCTTCATTCAATTTTAAACAAACTTATCTCAACTTACGATGGACCTTACATCAAAATAAGAAAATCGGATGCACACTCGCCTGAAGAGGATAAAGTTTCTTGTTAAACACTTTTGTTATTTTATGAAGATGTGGCGTGTGTGGCGCAGTGGTCAGAGGAACCCTGCGACACACACATGGGATCGATCCCCGCGCCCGTGGCTCACCAAGGTTTCCATCTCTTTAGGGTCTGCAAATCGGTGCCAAACTTGTTTAGGAGAATAGCAACACTGACTCGATACATCGGTAGGCCACCGTCAGTCATTGCAGAGGCCAAATATGGATTCCATCACCTCCGATGCTTAATGAAATCGAAAACGTGACGCATTCCTTAGCGATTGATCAACGTCGAAAGCTTTATCCTTTTACCCCTCATGAAAATTAAACTCTGATTATCTGAAACGCCAGTTTCTCTCGTTAAAGTTTGTACTTCGAACACTGAAGCAATTAACACTCGGTGTTCAAGGTCTAAATACGTATGGCTGCTGCAACTACTTGAGAACTTATTTTCGACCCACTCGCAACAAGCTGAGTTCAATTCACGTCGGTCATTCGGGTTTGTTTAAACGTAATTTGCAAATGATTTCAGCGTTTTTCGACATCTTCTATGCATTTACCTTTACTTTTGGAACATCTCGCTCTTTTCGAAACAAAAAAAACCTGGTCCACTCTATAATCACGGTGCCAACATCTGGTGCACAAAATCTATGGAGTATACGTCGATCGGTATTTTCAATCAGCCCAATCCACGTGACATTCTTCATTAAACATAGTAATGGGAAATGAAACAGCAAGCAGATATTCAGAAATGATTCTCTTGTGCCTACGACGTGGACGACGTTGGTTTCCCAACAACACTCGAGTTGAGAACTTGATAGACTTACCGCAGAGATATGTACTCCTTCTTTAATAAGCTTAATTACAAAAGAAATAGTATAGCAGAGACTTTCATTAGTCGCTCTAAGGATGGGTAAATCTTCCCTAAAATATTACTTCCATCGTGAACTTTATTTTAAAAAATTAAGGGTTCATCGTGGAACTCCGCTGTAATTTTCTCGATAACATCCTTGTTCAATCGCTTTCTGGCTTGAAATACGAGAAAAATATTTTGTGGACCCCAACAATAGAATTTCATTTCAACAGAATAACACTTTTGTCTTGCTTACGTAGATCAGTAGACCTTAGCATTTTACATTTCAGAAGGTACTAAGTACATGTTCACTACCAGCAACTACAACTCTTGTGAACTATTAGGCAATTCGGCAAATAAAGCACTCGAACGTTAGGATGAAGGAAAAAACCCTTAGTTTTGTGCTTGGTTCATTTACGTAGCAAATAATGAACAACAACAAGTATGAATTAAAAAAAGGAAGCTAACCTTTTGTACGACGTGATTTGCATTTTGGTCGATACACAGGGTCACCAAATCGCAATTGTGTAGCTCTAGCATAAGCAGGCTCTTCAGGTCCTCAGGCAAACACTGTGAATAGATGAAGATTTCAGTATGAAAATGAATACTGACCAACGTAGTGGTCTCACAATTATTCCCATAATTCGAAACAAAAATAAGCCAGTGCTGTTAATGATTGTCTAGCCTCAATGACCTTTCGATGGCAGTTGTGTACCGTAACCGTTGTTGCTGCACCGTTTACTTTACTTACGTATGCCATGTGACAGAATATCATAACCACCTATGAGAATCGTTCACTTCATATAACTTTGCTATTTGTCCTCAATGTAGTCAAAAGATTTAAAACCATATATCGAAATGATTAAATTTACATGAGAATGGATACTTACTTATTTGGATGCTTGGCCTGTCTTCAGTGGTTGTGCCGGCCTCAGCATAATCTCCATTTTTTGTGACTTTTGCTGGTTTAGCCATTGTGGTTCCCTGAAGTCCCCAGGACAGCCTAGTTAAAGTCAGCCCCAGGTCGTCACCACCACAGGCAGTCACCGCCATTGTGGATCAGAGGGAGATTTCGCACCATGTAACAACTAGTTTGATACCAGCATGGTGGTGGATCCCAGTATTGGTTTACTCCTAGCAGCGCTTCCTGATAGAAAAGCTGGGCTTCTTGACAGAAAAACCGGACTCCTTCTCAGTCTGGAAAACACTTCTGGGGAGTGAATCCCCCCTGTACATAGTAGCCCAACACCCAGGAACACCTTCTAGCCACGATGAGGCGGTAAACCGATAGGAAGTTGCATGACTGCAAACTCCGTAACACTTTCTTTACGGGAAGAACCTTTAACTGATCAAAGGAGTGTTGAGATTTTCTTAACACTGTATGGGTGATAACCAGCGTCATCAAACACCTACCGCTTTACCACTTCTACACTTTACATACAGGACTTTATTGAAACTACTTAGTTAGGATTACATTAAAGCATGACTATTCTTTGCTTAACGACATAACACAGCAAACCTCGATCACTTTCTGTATCACACGGCATGAATAACGGTTTAGACACATTGGATAGAGCTTCCGACCAAGGAGATGACTTATGATCCACCTCTGTTCTTGTACAGTAGCATTTTGAATAGCGCACTGTACGAAGAAGTTGCCGAATACATCGCTACAGAGTGACTGGAAAGAAGTAGGCATGCTCGGTACGAACTTCGAATGACTTCTACATATTAAATGTACCTCAAATAAGTTAGTTCGTTCGAACAACTCTTTCACAAGCAGTTCCCTGTCCGCGGTGCCCTCTTCAGGGTAGTTTGCTTGCAGGAAACTAAACATTTAGTAGAATAAGTACCAAGTATGACGAAACGAATAAATAAAACAGACCCAAGTTCTAAAAGTTTTGAGCATGTTCTTACGAAAAGGGATGAACGAGTCTCTTGATGAAGTACCGTAGCACTATGAAGGTCGAGACTAGAGGATTAATGTGCTACCTTCCTTTTCTGCCATTCATGGATTCTTCTCTTGGAATTCGAAAAATGTTTTTCTTAAAGCTAACTCATTACGCTAACCGCTTATACACTGCCATGGTTACTTTCTAAATATTCCTACAATGTAAATTCGAAAGAAGGTTTGGAAAGACTCACGTGCAGCCTGTTTTATCCTTAGCAAACACCTCAAGCAATCTCTCTTCGAGAATCTTACGAAGCGGAACGATGATACAACCCTGTCCGTCTGTTACCCAACTGGGAAGAGGGCAACGAGTGTGGTTTTCTCCAAAAGAGTTATCGACCTCGTAACTGCACATAATGCCCAGTGTTGGTAGTGGAGATGCCAGATTTGGAGAAATCGACAACTGAAGATTTGGAAGAAATAAAGCTATACAAACATCTAAGTACGCCAGCTCTACACATTAAAGCTTTTTGCGTGATTTATTTGAGATGTGAATGATCAAATCTCGGTCTAAAAAGCAATCCTGAGAAGACAATGTTATAGAGGAATTTACTTTTGCTTCAAAATGGCGAGAAACATGTAGAGGAGTGTATGACTGCGTATTACTGTCCAAATGAGTTAGTGGTCTACGCAGACCAGCGTTCCCTGGGGTACCTTCCGCCCGTGTAGACCTAGGTGGCGAGTAAGGACTTCCTTCTAAATAGCCGTAATTAAAACATATAGAACTGCAAGCGACAAGACAAATAACGATACCTGCTGAACTGCTGGATTTCGAATTAGAAACCGATATACCAGAATCGGAAAGATGAGACGCTTCAGCACAAAACAGGGGACTAACGTATGCCGTTCGGCATCCGGGCCCATTGTCGCGAACAGTAGAACAAGTGTCCTCATTTTTGCTCGCCATATTTACAACTAGTTGAGATATCGCGAAGATACTGGCGTTGGCTGTAGACCAAGTGGTTGATGTCAAGCCTGTGGTCCTGAAATTGTAGTATAACTAGGTGACCCCACAAACAAGAGGTCGGTAAGGGTCGTGAGCACACTGTGGTCCTACGCGATTAATGCAGTGGAGAAACGGAAACGCTCGAAAAGACCGTTGAAAAGTGAGGGACCGCCCGTCCTACTGAGTCGACTCGCCGCCAACAGTAGCCGCACAGGCGGGCATCGCATCGATCGGGTACTGTGATCGTCGTTGGGCAGTTATTGATCCACCGGTTAGGCGCCTATCACAGATCACGGTTTGCAACTTCCAGTGAAATATTACTAGGTAATGTAGTCACAATGGGTCTGCTATGTTCATACAGAAATAGCACCTTTAAGTTACGTTGGAAATCAGGGCTTAGACCAAAATGATCTGCCGAACTGAGTTGCAAAGCCATGCACACGATACAGGAAAGAGGCCACCAAGCCTCAAGTGGAGTTCTTCCGATATTTGGTGTACACAGTGTGCTTCGTCGATTGTGAGGCATTGGAATGTAGTCGTGGGTATGGTCCAAGAGGACAAGGACAGGTGGTCAAGTATGGCTCAAAAGTGCGATAAAGTCGCAACTACGACACCCCTACGGTTCAGTAATCCCCGTCTATACACCAATGTTTATGGCTAATGTGGTTTACCCAGACCTTAATCGGTTTTAGTTCACAGTGACGACTTTGATATGATAAGTGATAAAGTGGGGAACCTATTTTAGCCACTAAGAGGCACATGGAGAAAAACCACTTAGGCGCGTTAACTCAGCCAACTAATCAATGTCAGTGTGATGGCATATCTTTAATTTTGCTATGTCCAGAAAAAAGGCGTGCCCATAAACCACCGTTGTACGCTCTCATTAGGAAACAGACCAGACCTCTGCCAGCTACTTGCTGTCCTGAAAATGTATTAAGCTGGCCATAGAGCACAAAGTTGTTACCGTACCTGTATGAGGTGAGAGCGAGTGACAAGTGACGAACGACGACGAACCGCGCACGGTGACGAATGGACAGCGTCAGCGTCGGCGTCGTCGCCGCACGGACCGCACCGCCCCCCACAGCGCAGCTGGGCGACCGTGCTCAGCGCACGGAAGTCGTTGGCAGTTCCGATCATCGACAGCTGCGTGGCGTCTGCCATGACGGCCGTGCGCTAGTGGCAGTGACGCCCTCCGACCCCTGCGGGCAAGGCGGCGTGCGCGTTACGCGGCTGTGTGGGCAGCGTCGTACTGCCGCGTTGGACGCGCTGCTGTGCTGCAGCGCTCCGATGAGCAGCGCTACGAATGCCACTGCTGTCGGTGTATTTTTTCCTGCTTTTAAGTTGATTAAATACATTAGCCGAGGACTGTACATCACCATCTGTAGTTCACCGTCCAGACTCGTTTTACCACCCTGATCTCCGTGCGCAACATTGCATTGCTTATTGAGATCGACAACCATCGACTAGGGAAATGGACTGTTCGAAGCACGGGATGGTTTCCTGATCCGTAACTGATGTTCAGTTGCGAATAGAAGCTATTAAAGTGAGAAATAATGCAGGAGCACGTCGCTTCGCATTGCTGTTCCATCTCCTGTTCAGTTTCCCAACTTTCTCGGGATTTTTTAAGCTAGATGCGCATATACCTCCCAACGGTTTACCTCCTTATCGTGGCTGGGAGGTGTTCCTGGGTGTCAGGCTGCGATGTACAGCGGCAGGATTCATCCACCTGGCAGGGTCACCTAAGCTGAGAAGGAGTCCGGCTTTTCCATCAGGAAGCCTAGCTGAGAGTAGACCAATCCCAGGGTCGACCACTGTCCTAGTATCAAACTACTAGTCATATGGTGGCAAATCTCCCTCTGGTCCACAAGGGTGGCAACTGCCTGTAGTGGTGACGACCTGGGGCAGACTTTGGCTAGGATGACTTCGGGACTCCAGGGAAACACAATCGGTAAGCCAGCAAAACTCCGAAAAATAGGGATTATGCTGGGACCCGCACAACCAGTGAAGATGGGTCGTCTAAGTATCCAAATAAGTTACGCACATATTAACATAGTGATTCTGAATTGAGACGTATCCACCACCATAGTTCGTTATCAATTATATCAGAGCTCTTTCATGAACCGGGTTTCTTTCCAAATTACTGACAATGCCGTCCTTTTCACTAATTCGTCAAGCCTTCCAAGAATAATGTCCACATAAAATGTACCCCCTCCCAAGTATTTTGAAGTCGTCGGAATAAAGAAGATCGACTGGAATTTCTAACTTCTGCGTCGCTTTTAGGTATTTAGGCCTGTATGTTTTGTAACGGATCTTCATTCTTACTATCAAGATATCATTTCTATTCGGATCAATAAGTTCTTCGCATTTGTAAGCAAGTCTTCGGTGTTCACTAGGTGGTCATACGCTACGAAAAAACATTCTTTAGTGTCGGGAAACTATTCCATCGAAAATGTCCTCTCTTGCCTACATAAGTCCGTAGCGAGAACCTTTCATACATTTTTTCTAACTATTAATTTTTACGCCGAAAGAGCTAATCCTACGATAATAGTCCATCTATCTATCGATCGTGCACCAAGGGTTCAGTTGTCCCATGTCTCAACTTCAGTATACTATTTGTAACTTCGTAGTTCTTCAGTATTCCTCTATAGACTACTCCAACCTGATGACGAGGCCTCAGGCTTTTCCAATTCGGTGTGACTCTTTATTACAGTTTCAGAAAAAACTTCATAAGTAGCTGCTCATCGTACTGGTCCTTTAACGCAGAGAGTAGATGGTGGTTACGAGAAAAGCTACTGGAATCTCGTCTCTTTCAATATTCAGTGAATGATGAAGAGCTCCGTTGTGCTGAAGTATGTTGATATTCTAGATCGTAGCTATCCAACAAATAAAGTATGGCACTACACGTTGTTTCCATAATAATGTGAAATTCAATGTATGACAGCCTTATACCAGTACTACAAGAGCTCGGCATGAAATACTTCCTGTAGCATTTCCTACTTCTGTTGCTCTGGTCCCTATTGCAGTAATGTGTCCTGCACTTAGCATACTGTAGGAACCTACGACTGTAGGGTCGGGTCTCCACCAGTAGTTGTGACACATCACGTGTCCCTCCGACCTGTTTCTCAACATACTGTAGAGCACGAGTGCCTCGATCACTGATCGTCGGCATAGGTCGGAATTCCAGATTCCCTATCTTGTCCTCGTAATACTATTTATATTAGGACATTTCTAGATTTTTCTAGACCAGCATGTTTCTAGAATCATCCTCTCTACAGTACGTCCAATAACGCTGAGTGATTCCTTATCCTGCATATGTAAAGTTAAGGCTTTCAGTGCGTAATTTACTGCTGAAAAATTTGTAGACTCCAAGAATGACATAGATCCAGGCGTTCTTTCTGTTCTTTACTATGTACTGGATTCTCCTGTAAGTATCATACACCGCTCATTTCCTTCTGAACTGCACTGAATTAAGGTTGTTCTTCATGGTGACTCCTTGATCGAGATACACATAGCCAGAGCACTCGATTTTCGTTCTGTTGGTTATAAATGGGGCTTCGGGAGTTTAGGACGTTTTTCATAAAAAGAACTTCCTTTCCACATGACAGTGGTTCTGCGGATATTCAGTGGAAAGGTATTGGATGCAACGCGAGCCTTGTGTGCGTGGACTTTTCATACAACTAATCGTTTGTTTGGTAATCTCTGGTAGAATTAGAGGTGCTGTGGTCTAACAAATTTTATCAGTGCATTTCTTCTGAGAGCATGAAATGAGCAATGGTAAGCATAAAGACAAAGAAAATTGGACGGAATATGTACGAGATGGGCTGGAATATAAAGCCTGTGAAGAAGCAGAAATTATAATGGAACACGTCTACGTGGGACGCCTAACTCATTTAACGACATACTTGTGATCGTTATGTACTAAAGTTATTGTTTAAAGTTTGACAATCATTTTAGAAGCAAAACCAGTCATTAAAATGTAACCACTCAACTGGAGATTAAATGTTTTGGCACACCATATCACTATGATCAACACACAGTTCATAACATCAAGCCCTTTATTGACGGAGCAAATCAAAATTCAGTAAGGCCTTAAATGGGTGAGACATTTCGTGACCCACCGTTTTTGTTTTCTAGGAACAGAATGAATGTTTAGTACACGAGTAAACAGAGAACCAAGAGTTACCAATATCATTATTCTTCACAAACTCAAAAGTAGACCTCAAAAACGACGTTCACTACTCAACGCTAGTAGGTAGGCTGTGAACTTCTCCGTTACAACCTATTGCTAGGAAGGTAAACGTAGACTTGTAGATGTTAAACTCGTTTCACCAAGAGGATAAATTCTTTAAGCATTATCACTTATGCTCTTGCAGAAAAATGAGGTCCACAAAGAACGGAAGCGACTGTGCACCAGCACAATATCCACAGAATTACTCGTACAGGAGCAT